GCACAGTTGCTACTCTGCTCCCTCATTAGTAGGCCCAAATGATTCAATCCGTCTTCATCAGCTTTAACTGCACCTTTGAGACCATCATTATGACGGTGCACAATCTTTAGCGTCACTTGCAAGGATCCATTTCGACTGGCCTGACACAAAGCGCTATAACGTTCTTCCAGATGATGATATTAGATCTTGCACGACCCAGAAAAATTTCAGCCCAATTGGTTGCTGAGGCATTAATGATTAACAGTCTAACAGTGATGATGGGGTTTGCCTGACCTGACCTTTCCACAGGGCTGTATTTGCAGCCGGTGTAAGTACCAGGCTTTAGCATCATGATAGCTTTGCTGTACCCAGACAGCTGCACATTTATCCTCTGGCCTTAGCAGCTGAAGGCCCTGGTCCAGTGTGCTGCGTGGGGGAAGGGTGACTTATCTGAATGGAAGGAAGAAAAGGGCAAGGAATGAGGAATGTAAGAGCAGGCTTGGACATCCCCATAACTGAATAGATTTGTCCCTTGAGGTATTAATTAGACCACATGTTTTAAATTAAGTGAACTGAACCAGAACTGAACCACATGTCTGTTACAGAAAAAAAAATCAAATAAAATTTTCTCCTGTCATCAAAGTAAGTACATCTTTTGTCTGACAAACTGTCTGCTGATTTCAATTTTACATACAGTACTAGTCAAATCAGCACAATTTCCTGCTTAGGACAGCTTGTACATAAACTAACAAATAATTTTTAGTAAGAGAATTTATATAATAAAAATCATTTGATGACAGAACAACAAAAAGAAACACTCTCTACAAAACTCCTTTTAAAAACATCTAAGTTCATGCTCAGTAATCCAGGTTAAAAAAATCCAACAAAGTTCAGTCAGGTCATCTGGACAGTTTCTTTTAAAGTCCTTTTAAAAACAGGAGTATTTCCCTTAAAAAAAAAGAAGTAAAATCATCTGTTAGAGGAAAAATAGAACATTAAAAAAATGTGTTTAATGAAATGAAATAAAGGTATATATCCCAAAATTGACTACTAGACATACACTTTTACAATGACAATAAATATAGTCTTAAATAGTCCCATAAAATTTAACAATTAAATATTGCTCAATAAAAAAAATACAAAACTGGATTAGCTCCAACCAACATTTGCTCATCATGCAAAGTATGCCAAAGACATACTTGAATGTCCAGAGGACCAGATTGAACTTTTTTAGATTCTTCTACCTGGATTATTGAGCATGCATCAGGATATGCCAAAGACAGTTTCATGCAGTGTGGCCTTCTTCACCTGTTCAGAGGTTTGGGGGTTTTAGTTCCACAAGAACATCCAGGCTTCCAGAATCATCACCATGCCTGCTGGGAGATTGCTCTACTCTAAACATTACAAATTAAAAACAAGGACAAATGTCTAGTTTTTATTTCTTTGACAACCCCCCCCCCCCCCCCCGATATATCTGCAAACAAAAAAAAGTATATTACTGAAGTGTCACAGTGTAATATAAAATAATATTTGTGCATGTTTTAAACAACAACGACGACGACGGCGGCAGCCATCCATCCATTCATCCATCCATCTTTTACCACTTATCTCTAGTCGTGTTGTGGAAGTCCTGGAGAGATGCACAGACATCCCTCTTCTTAGCAGCACTTGTGAGCTCCTCCTGGGGGATCCTAAAGTGTTTCCAAGCCAGAGAAGATATAAAAACTCTCCAGCAAGTTCTGGTTCTGCTCCAGGGTCTTTACATAGTGGGAAATGCCTAGAAAGCCCCCAAAGAGAGGCATCTAGTAGACACACTAATTAACTGCCTCAATTGAACCACCTCAACCGACTCATTTTGATGCACAGGAGCAGCACCTCTACTCTGAGCTTTCCCCAGATGGCTGAAGCCCTTAACCCATCTCTGAAGTTAGACCACCCTATGATGGAAGCTGGATTCAACCACTTTTATCTGGGATCTAATTTGAGTATGAGCCATACCTCATGACTACAGGTGAGAGTTGGAACATAGACATACCAATATATTATGAGCTTTGACATTCAACTCAACCCTTCCCTCAACATGGCTGATTAAAGCAGTGCCTCACTAACAAGGATGAAGCCGTGATCTATCAATCTATCTCCAGTTCCATCCTACCCTCACCAGTGAACAAGATGGCCATATACTTGAACTTTTTTCCAGTGGAGAACCATGGCCTCAGACTTGAATTTGTTACATACTTCGCAGGACATAAGACATCTGTTCTTGTTCAAGGGGTTGTGAGATTCTTTTTTTGCATGGACATTTGATACTCAAAGAGAAACTGTAGTGCAGAACTCCTGGGGAGCCTTCCTATGGCAGCACATGCCACTCGCAACAAAACAACACAGACAGCACGGCTGGCAGAGATGGAAGTTTATTTTCAGAAGATGATGGAGAAGTTGGAGGAATAAGATCGGGTATTTTTGTTAACAGAGGAAAAGCACTAATATGCAAATACATCACATAAGACCACCACTGATTCCAACAGACGGTGCATGTATCTCTACAGTACCAGGCCAAGGTGCACTCCCTTCCAGCAAGCACAACCACAGAGAGCCGTCTGATTCCCAGCACTGTCTCCTCCGCGAAAAAATATAGTCCAATCTCCTTCCGCGAGTTCTTTGAATATGTTTATGATTTATTTGACTGTCTTTATAAGTTTTGCTAGAATATTTGTAAATATAACTGTATTTTCCAACAGCCTCAGCCAGATGCTCCTCAGCAAAGCAGTGGAAGTGAAATGAGAGCAGTGTGGCGTACTTGCTTTACCGCATCAACACATCTGCAAAGTTCTGACCAGTCACACAATACTGATGCAAACTCCTGCACGAGAAAAGTTTTGCCAGCAGCTTTTCCATAAAATTGGTTCCTGGAGGCCATGTGAGAACAAAAAGACAACATGTACGTTGTGCAACTACATCAATGAGAATGAATTTGCAACATCTTACAGAGTATAAATCAACCTGTACAGGAGCTCACTCTCATCCCAGTCATATAACACTCCGCTACAAACCATCCCAGAGCACGATGAAGGTCATGACCCCAAGATACAAACAGAACTGCATCATATGCAAAAAAAGGAGAAAGGAGCCTAAACCTGAAATAAACAATATCATAGACAAAGAACAGTCTTGGTAGAGTCCAACCTGCACTGACACTGCACTGACAGGCAGCACGACGGCTCAGTGGTTCGTGTTGCCTCACAGCAAGAAGGTCCGGGGTTCAATCCCTGGTTGGACCTGGGTCTTTCTGTGTGGAGTTTGCATGTTCTTCTCCTGCTTGCATGGGTTTTCTCTCCAGTTTCCTCCCACAGACCAAAAACATGCATGTTAGTCTGCCTTCAGGCCCAGGCCTCCCTTGCAGAAGAGATATGTGATTGTAATGCTATTTGCCTGGTTAAATAAAGGTTAATAAATAAATATATGCAAATGAGCTTGACTTTTTGACAAGGATGTTGACAGACGGACAAACAGAACATCAGTTAAAGTATAATTTCCAAACATATCTCTCAAAGATACATTAAGGAAAATAGTAATGTTTATTTATACAGTGCATTTTACAACAAAAAAAAGACAGTGCTTCACAATGAAATGCAAAACTATAAAAAATAGGAATACAAAAATTTCAAAATTGTAAAAAAGAAAAGAAATCAAAACAAACACACTAATCATCAATAAAAGCATTTCTTTTTTCCCCTTGTGAGGAAAAGGGGACCTCCCTCACCTCCTTGTGAGGATGGAGCTTTCACTTACAGTGATAATATTGTAGCATTTTCCACAGAAACACTGTTCGGTAGTAACAGGCACTAAAACACACGAGCTGCAGATCTGTAAGTCACGCAAACTGTCAAATTGTGACTGTAGCTGCACATCCTGCAGATGAGTCCATTAGACCGAGAACTTTAAAAACAACAAATCACGAGCTGTTCTTGCAAATTGGTGGTAAATAGAGTAACAATACAACAATGATGGTGCATGTTTGTGTAAAGTGACGAATCTTAGAAATGCAGAAAGCAGAAAAACACGTTTGCCAACATGTTTGCTCTTTTCACAAAAAGAAAAGGGCAATGCAGCAGAAGGGATCCCCAAAGGGTCCACGATAAATTATTGAATTTCAGAGCAATCTATCATCATTTCTAAAATGTTCAGCCAACCAAAAAACAGAGGCGAACTGACATTTCATTGCTATACTATGAAACTAAACACAGTACATCTTCATACAAGCAGAGCAATTTAACTCAAACACAATCTGATCTGTTTTGTTGCTAAAGCACCAAGCCCTCTCTGGTGAGCTACAAATAGAGCACTTGAACCACAGTGGATCCATGCTGACGTATTTTCTCTGGAAAACCTGCCTGAGACTGAGAGTGGGGGGATACAGTGTGAACAAGAGGGTGTGGGGTTGTAGACAACAGTGCTGAAAATGTCGCTGAAACCATAGCTGGCATTAGCAAGCCTAGTTATGTGGAGGTAAAGAGAAATGTGAGGAGAAAAGGGTCAAAGAGACATCCGAGTAAAAACAATCTCCACACGACTGAAGTTTTTAATATTTATCTTTAATTAGTATCACATAAAAAGGCTGTAGGAAAACTTTGTTGTGGTAACAACATATATTTTTGATGTACAGACAACAGTTGCAGAACATAAATTTATAATCAAGGTGTTAAATTGAGAGGATTGAAAGTCACTTGTTTCAAAATAATAACGAAGGGAAGTGAAATGACGAGATTTGAGTGAAATGATGAATGGCTCTGTGATTGTATGAGAGAGTGAACAACAACTGGGTGACCTTAAAAGGCGACTGTTGGTGAAAGAGGGAGGACATGAAAGGGGGGCGTCGGGGGTTATCACTCTCTGAGGCGCTGCTGTATTTATAGATCAGCTTAAAAAAAGTATTCCTCCCTCCCATCGTCCCTCCCCCTCTTTCCAATTAGCCCCCGGTTGGTGGATAATGCAATCAGGAGTAACTACAGCTCGTCCGGAGCCTCCCTTTCTCAGTCTGCTCCAGACTCAACACAGGCCACCCACTCCTCAGACAGGAAGGTAAGAACCAACTCTGTTCAGCTGCTCTGCTCTCCATCTCTTCATCCCCTTTTGTTCTTCACCAGTCTTCATGTCCACCACTCTGCTGAATCATCCTCATCCTTAACTCCAGCTCCCCTGTTTCCCACCTGCACAGTCTCCTCATTTCTTATTCAGCTCTTCCTCATCCCCACTTTGTCTTCCTCAGAGACAATTTCTGTGGAGAATAAACATCTGCACACCTGTTAACCCCGTTAAAACAATTAGTTAAGTCATTTTTCCCTCTACTCTCATCAACTCCATCCTGCAAAACTGTACTTTTAAGTACATTTTAAATTATTTTATGATTAGTGACTTCTAACATTAAACATAGTTTGCTTACTTTTAGACTTTAATAAAGCTTTGTGAGATTGTAGCAGTCTTGCATAACCTTGTCATGACAGTTCAAGGACACAAAATAAATAAAAATGTTCTCATACTTTCATTTTGGTCCTAACTTTGCATTAAATATGATGCATCTGCAGACATTTTGAAGTTCTGCAGCTGGTCAAGTAATTTCCTTTCTGAGTCGTTATGATTCTGAATTCTTTAGAAACATAACCAAGTTATGTCTTAATTTGTTTTCACCTTCAGCTCTTATTATCCGCTTTCAAACCTATAACCACTGCGCTGCTGTTTAATTAGCAAGGAATGTCCTCGTGAGTCATTGCTTTGAAAAAGTGGCAAATTGCTGCAAATACTTTAACTCTCTCTCACGTGAGAAGGGGCTGGCACCTCTTTAAATGGTTAAATAATACTGTCAAAAGTGGTCTTGTATGTTAAAAAATACAATACAAAAATTTAATAATTAGCTTTTTTCCCCTTTATTCCGCTTGAATAAAATTAAGTAAATAGCAAAACTGAACTGTGAGTAAATTATTGGTTTTAAATCGTAGAAAGCTTCTAAAAACAGATACATTGTCTTTAGGGGGTTCAGTTTCCCAGCATCCCCTTTGCTGCTGAAGTGGAGGTAGCTCGGTTTCTCTTGTAGATGGGCGGCATCAAAGGGACCCCAGAGTCTGGGAAACAGCTGCACAGCACGTTGAAATAGCTACAGGTTTTATTTGTGGCCATTCAGATTATCCTTCTATATTTTTAGGAGTCAGATAAATCCTTATATAAGCTAGGCGAGTTATGGTGGGAGCAAAAGACAATGGGGGAATGGGAGGGGGTGAGAATTCTTTGAAAGGAGAGGACATGCGGATTAAAACTCTCCACTTTAGCCAGATAAAAGATATCTCCTGATAGGGAACATCCCATATCACTTACAGATCTAATTTTAAGGCACCTAGACACGAATAGTCAGTGATTAGAAGGTTTTTTTTTGTGGCTTTTGATGATTGCATTGTTCAAAAAGAGACATTTAGATGAATACTATGATCATTAGAGAGGAAAACTAAGGGCAGCTGTTTATTTTGAGCTGTTCAAACTCAGTTGTACATCCGCACAATGACAAGGGATACTGGGATCTAGTGCTGACAGCCGGAGGTGAGGCGCTGGATGGGTTAGCAGTGTTGGTATGCACTGAGAGTAAATGTTGACTGTCTCTAAGCAGGAATGATAGCAGTTATTTATATCCTCATCAGTCAACCTCTACTACTGACACAGGGAACAAAATTAAAGACATCAGGGCGATGAAACAGGAGGATAAAATACCCCATTCATTGTGAGTGATCTTGATACCAGAAGACAATGCTGGTTGAAGAAAGTACTCTCCGATGATTAAGGATTAAACAGAGCAGCAAAGTGTCAAAACCTCCAATGCTATTATTTCTCCTTACTTTTTCCACCAAATTAGCGACTGTGGGCCAAAATGACAGAGCGCTATGACTGCCACTACTGCAAGGAGTCCCTGTTTGGGAAGAAGTACGTTCTTCGAGAGGACAACCCCTACTGTGTGAAATGTTACGAAAGCCTGTATTCCAACACATGTGAGGAGTGCAAGAAACCCATTGGCTGCAACACCAGGGTAAGAAAACACCGCACATAGTGTATACGATGTGGTGAAGCAGTATCAGCCTGGTTTGAACTGTCCACCTGATGCTCCTGCAGGATCTGTCCTACAAGGACCGCCATTGGCATGAGGACTGCTTCAAGTGCTTTCAGTGCAAGCGCTCTCTGGTGGACAAGCCCTTCTCCACCAAGGATGACCAGCTCCTGTGCACTGAGTGCTACTCTAATGAATATTCCTCTAAGTGCCATGAGTGCAAGAAAACCATCATGCCAGGTGGGAAGAAAATACCTCAGGTTGACAAATCTTGCTAATAACGTACAATTATATCATTAAAATCAGCTTCTTGATTGAATTGAAGGATTGTTGATCAGAGCTGCAACCATTAAAGGAATGGAGATCTTTTAATGCTGAATCATAAATGAAAATGGAAACTGTTGATTTTTTTTCTTGTAAAGTACAAAAGTTGTTTCTTATTTGCCTTTATGACATTGTTGAAACGTCCAATACTGTACACAAGTACACTTTAGGTTATAGTACAATGTAAAATTTGTACGTCTGTACTTCATCAACAAGAAAGCATATTGGGGGAAAAGAAAGTAAATGACAAAAAATAGATAGTTTTATAAAGTTTTGACCTCATAACATATCATAACTGACTAAGGCTACTGGAAAGTGCTGCCATTTTAAGTATTTATATTAAGGCAGACACTTTTAGTGTACTTAACTCTATACTGTGTCACACAAGTCTTTAGTGATTTCAGCTGGTTGGTATTGAACCTCAGCCTGATGAAAATGTTTATCTAGTCTATTTTAAGATTAGATTTTAGATCAAGATGGTTAGTTTCAACATTAAAAGAAAAACTGTTCCACTTCAGTTTAAATAATGGCATTGATCCGTGTAAAACCAAAAGAGAATCATGATAAGAAAGGCACAAAAATATAAATACGGCTAACAATAAAATATGAGCCGTGCGCCAAACAGTTGGCACAGTTTGCAGTCAATTAGTCCTGTAAAAATTGTTCTGACTGTGCTAAATGTGACACAATATCTGTTTCTAAACTCGGAACTTATGTTTTTGATACAATTTCTGTCATAGCTCCCCTCCCCCACCTCCGATTAACATCATATTTATAATTCCCTGAAGGCTCCAGGAAGATGGAGCACAAGGGTAACAGCTGGCATGAGACCTGCTTTACCTGCAAGAGATGCCAGCAGCCAATTGGCACCAAGAGCTTCATCCCGAAGGAGAACCAAAACTTCTGTGTGCCCTGCTACGAGAAGCAGTTTGCCATGCAATGTGTGCACTGCAAGAAGGTATAACATCCACTTCTACTATAGCATGGCCTCCATGTAACTGATGTTCAACATGGCTCTGTTTGTTTAAAATTCATGAAACAAAAAAGGTGTGCAACTTTCTTTTGTACTAGCCCATCACCACTGGTGGGGTGACCTACCGTGACCAGCCCTGGCACAAGGATTGCTTTCTGTGCACCAGCTGCAAGCAGCAACTGTCTGGCCAGAGGTTTACCTCTAGAGACGACTTTGCCTATTGTCTAAACTGCTTCTGCAACCTTTATGCTAAGAAGTGCGCCTCCTGCACCACCCCAATCAGCGGTAATTGAATTTGTCTGCTTGAATCTGAAAAGTATAGTTTGTAAACAGTTTCACGGTGGTTTGACTGAGTTGGTTTTTCATGCCAGGTCTGGGTGGCAGCAAATACATTTCCTTCGAGGAGCGCCAGTGGCACAATGACTGCTTCAACTGCAAGAAGTGCTCTGTGTCCCTGGTTGGACGTGGCTTCCTCACCGAACGTGATGACATCCTGTGCCCAGAGTGCGGCAAAGATATCTGATTCAACCTGGCAGATAAATCTGATCCGGTGATCAAGTTACAATCCAAAAAAATGGCAAAGATACAGATAATCCTTTCAGAGCACAGCATCTTTAGTGTTACCATAAATGCACACTGTTTTAAGCTACGAATGTCAGACTACTAATGGTGGTATTTGAAATTACAAACTTTATTCAAGTTACATGCACATGCCTGGGGGAAAATATATTACAATATTGCTATGCATGAATATAAAGATATGCTTATGAAATAAATTATAGCAGCAGGTAGATTCTGTATGATGCACTCTGGAATAAATCTACAACATTAATGCAAACTTGGTCGTTTTGTTGACTGAAATACATAAAAGTTGTTATAATAGGTTGGTTTTGTGAACATGGGTTTTCTAAACAAGTTAAACAATGTTTGCTAATCTTTAACTGTTTGCACACGGTGTTTTACTTGTGCACATCAGACACAAAACAGGTTTTGTGCACACTTTCAGTTGATAAAACCTCAGAGATGTGCACCTCAGACTGCTTTGTCAACTAAACTTTGTTTCTCTGCACTTGTGCAAAATGAGTCAAAACATGAGATTTGCAAAAAAATGAGTCCACAAGAACACCATCTATCAATCCCAGTAAATAAAATAGCACATAATCTACCTTTAAGTCAAAGTTATAGCAAAACCTACTTTTGTTCGAGTTTTTAAATTGTCGCTCTCGTAGATAAAACTACCGTAGCTTGTTGCCAGGCGACAAACGATCAAATTTCAACAAACAACAAATCATTTTGAAGCTTTTTGAGAAATTGGAGAATTTAAAAATAATAAATCAGTATGAAAAAAAAAATCACTGTGACCCATTTTGTCAGCATGTGTCAGATATACTGTTTCATGAAAGATGGTGGTGTGTGCATCTCTGGAAAAGAAACCGAGGAAGAGGAGCAGCCTGCTGCACGGCTGCCTTTACATAAAATAGGTACTGTAGGAATATCAGTATTAGTAAAAGTTATAAGAGGCTCTGCAAAATTTAGATGATGTTTTAGACTTAGAATACAACATTTTGTGATTATAAAACTCCAAATGTAGAGGTTGTCCATTTCATTTGTTCAACCACGAGCAGCCGATTAACATCTTAAAAGCTCAAATACCTCAACTACAGTCCTAAATCCCAAATGAGTTGGAAAGGAGGCACCATGGATGAATTCCCGCCAACCTGATGGCGGTGCTTAAGTACCTGACCACCGAGATCCTGGAGCTGGTGGGAAACTTGGCTTGTGACAACAGGAGGACCGGGATCGTCCCCCGGCACCTTCAGCTGTCTGTCCGTGGTGACGAGGAGCTCGGCAGGCTGCTGGGAGGAGTGACCATCGCTCAGGGAGGAATTCTGCCCGGCATTCGGACAGTCCTGCTGCTCAGTAGGACCGAGAGGCCCGCTGGATCTGACAGCAAGCTGGATCTGGGTGGATGGATCTTTGGCCAGATTCTTCGGATTTGCTGCAGGAGATCCTTCCTGCCATCAGCTATCAGCATCTAACAACTCTTGAATGAAACCAAGATGATGAGCTACGACAACACTTACTTTCCCTCTGGGATTAATAAAGTATTTCTGAATTGAATTATTTAAAAATAAATTAGGTTATTCAGAGCTGACCTCTTTGGGAAACAAAGTTTACTGTAGGTGCACTAAGAACACTTTACCCCAGTAAAAGTGGCACATGACATCGAGTACACCCTGGTCTGGAGTACAAACCCTGAACACATTTCTGATGTAATCATTATAAAAGAACACAATAATGGCCAAACATAAAATAAAATAAATGTCACCTACTGATCTAGAAATGCCACCCTCGTAGTCATTTCTTGAGATGTTATTTATGCAGTTTTTCAGGAGTGCCTCTATTCTTCCTCTATTAAATTGTTATTGAAAACTTCTATAAATTAATTGGTATCTATTGCTTTGACGCATCTGATTTGAATGAATGGGTGATTTACAGGCTTATGCAGAACTTGATGTAGTCATGAAATCACTGAATCAGGTGCGTTAGAGCAGGGAAACAACTAAAACATGCAGGACAGTGTTCCTTGAGGATCAGGGTTGGAACCACTGCTCCGTTACTACACAGTGAACACTTAGTACCATATTTCTCCTCTAAAGTTGTTATTCTGGTCGATTTAAATTAGGATAGAATCAACTCACTAGATACAGTCTTCCAGAAGTCTGACGCCCTAAATCTTTCTCATAGACATTTTTTCAGCATAGCACGGTGGCACAGTTGGTAAAGCTACCGCCTCTCAGTGAGCAGGTCACCCATTTCAAATTCTGGCCAGGGGTCTTTCTGAGTGGAGTTTGTATGTTCTCCGGTTTCCTCACAGACCAAAAACATGCATGTTAGACTGATTGGTAACTCTAAATTATCCCTAAGTGTGAGTGAGAGAGTGAATGGTTGTTTGTCTCGTTTGTCTCTATGTGTCTCTGTGATGGACTGGAGACCTGTCCAGGGTGTCCCCCGCCTCTCACACAATGATGACTGGACATGGGCACCAGTGATCCCTGCGTCCCGAAAAGGAAGAAATGGGTAAAGATAATGGAGGGATGGATGTCTCCAACATACATTTATATTCTTTAATTTATTATTTATTTTTCCCCCATTTTTTGCTTATATTTCCACTTCATGTTTGTAAATGAGAACTGGTTATATATATACTGTATATACAGTGAGACAAATAAGTATTTGAACACCCTGCGACTTTGCAAGTTCTCCCACTTAGAAATCATGGAGGGGTCTAAAATGTTCATCTTAGGTGCATGTCCACTGTGAGAGACATAATCTAAAAAAAAATAAAAAATATCAGGAAATCACAATGTATGATTTTTTAATAATTTATTTGTGTGTTACTGCTGCAAATAAGTATTTTAACACCTGCCAATCAGCAACAGTTCTGGCCCTCAAAGACCCGTTAGTCCACCTCTAAAAAGTCCACTTCCACTTATTATTCTAAATTGGAAGCACCTGTTTGAGGTTGTTAGCTGCATAAAGACACCTGTCCACCCCACACCATCAGTAAGACTCCAACTACTAACATGGCTAAGACCAAAGAGCTGTCCAAAGACACCAGAGACAAAATTGTAGACCTCCACAAGGCTGGAAAGGGCTACGAGGCAATTGCCAAGCAACTTGGTAAAAAAAGATCAACTGTTGGAGCATTTATTAGAAAATGGAAGAACCTAAACATGACTGTCAATCTCCCTCGGACTGGGGCTCCATGCAAGATCTCACCTTGTGGCATATCAGTGATCCTAAGAAAGGTGAGGAATCAGTCCAGAACTACACGGGAGGAGCTGGTCAATGACCTGAAGAGAGCTGGCACCACTGTTTCCATGGTTACTGTGGGTAATACACTAAGACGTCATAGTTTAAAATCATGCATGGCCCGGAAGGTTCCCCTGCTTAAATCAGCACACGTCCAGGCCCGTCTTAAGTTTGACCATGACCATTTGGATGATCCAGAGGAGTCATGGGAGAAAGTTCTGTGGTCAGATGAGACCAAAATAGAACTTTTTGGTCTTAATTCCACTCGCCATGTTTGAAGGACGAAGAATGATGAGTACCATCCCAAATACACCATCCCTACTGTGAAGCATGGGGGTGGAAGCATCATGCTTTGGGGGTGTTTTTCTGCACGAGACAGGACGACTGCACTGTATTAAGGAGAGGATGACCGGGGCCATGTAGTGAGAGATTTTGGAGAACAACCTCCTTCCCTCAGTTAGAGCATTGAAGCTGGGTCTTCCAACATGTCAACAACCTGAAGCTCACAGCCAGGAGAACCAAGGAGTGGCTCCGTAAGAAGCATATCAAGGTTCTGGAGTGGTCTAGCCAGTCTCCAGACCTAAACCCTATAGAAAATATTTGGAGGGAGCTCAAACTCTGTGTTTCTCAGTGACAGCCCAGAAACCTGCTGATCTAGAGAAGATCTGTGGAGGAATGGAACAAACTCTCTGCTGCAGTAAATCTGATGAAAAACTAGAGGAAACCTTTGACCTCTGTAACTGCAAACAAAGATACTGTACCAAATACTAACATTGATTTTCACAGGTGTTCAAATACTTATTTGCAGCAGTAACACACAAATAAATTATTTTAAAAAAAATCATACATTGTGATTTCTGTTTTTTTTATTTTTAGATTATGTCTCTCACAGTGGACATGCACCTAAGATTAAAATTTCAGACCCCTCCATGATTTCTAAGTGGGAGAACTTGCAAAGTTGCAGGGTGTTCAAATACTTTATTTTCATATAAAAATATATGAAAATATATATACACACACACACATTTCTCTATAAAATTAAACCAACTACACCAATTTTTTAGACAGAACATTTATTTATAAACTACTGGTAAACAATTATGGTTCAAAACATTTATTTCTGTGTTTTATGCTGAGCTTCATCTACATCAAAAACTACCAGCTGCAAAGTTAATTTGTCTAAAGCAATAAATATACATAAAAATTATGCATTTTTGTTAAAGTTCATATTCGTTTATTGCATTGTTTATATCTATCAAGGAGAGTTTTCCAAATCCTATGTCCAATGTCAAATTAATAAAGGATCAAGCTCCACCTGTGAGTATTCAACTTCAAGTTATTTACAACATGCACCTCACTACAAAACAATGAAAATTGTGACTATTAATCGAAAAAGCACTGAATAAAATACTTTCATTTTGTGGAATAAACAAAAATGATAAAAAATATATCACTGACTGAATGACAGCAGTTCAACATGTTTGTGTGCACAATTTTGACCACACTGATGAAAATAATCTTTGTCTCATAATGTTATCATGTGACCTTGTACTTGCTTCAGCTTTCCTTTCAGACTCACCCAACAAAATCACCACTTTTCAGATAAATAAAATCGTAAGCAGACATCACTTTGGAAAACAAGTCATTTTGTTTTTTTACGTTTTGTTCAAGAGAAAATGATAGGAGATGTTGACCATAACAACAGCCAGGGCACTTGAGGTTTTGGGAAGCAACAAGGAAGCTTGTGTCTTCAAATAGCTGGTTGATCTCCTGAGCGTCACTCTGCCGTGTCAGCTCTACAATGAACAAGACCAAAGATGGCTGACAAGGTTTCCAACAGTAAGGAAGGTTGTGATTGGTGGGTGGGAAAGTGGTGGACTCAGAGGTCAGGGACAAAAGGAAAAATAAGCTTCCATCTGGGTCAAAGGTCAGGGCCATGTAACGTGCTGGATCTTTTTCTTTGCTTCTGGTGATTTTAGCGAACACTGGAGAAAGAAAAATAAAACAAAATCATTTAAAATA